CTTCATATTAGCCACATGATTCATCTGAATAGGAGCTTCATTTAAGTTTAATGAAATGATCATGTGACTAATATGAAGGTCCACATAAGTCTATATATGACACCTTCATTATAGAATTTCCTACTGGGAGTTGTTCCATGACCCAATTAAAAAAAAACAGTCCTAGGTGTTGTGGCCGCTAGCAAGTACTATTTTCATTTTTATTTTTCTAATAAAAAGATTACAAGATCCCCTAAGAATTTCTAACGGAACACTGAGTAAAATTAGAGAACCAAGTACAAATATTATTTTTATGTTGCCATACAAAAGCTAATTCATCGCCTTATATGTCAAATTTGCTTCATCATACATGTCCCTCAATTGTCCAGTTTGAAACTGTTGCGGTAAATCCAGTGGGTATGGAAATGGTGGGTGCCGCCCGTACATTTCAAATCCAATTGGCCTACCCAATTCAGTGTGGAAAGAAAAGTCAACTCAGAAGACTTTGACTACACCAAGTCAAAAGCAGGCGAACTGACGCATTGGGCAAAGTAAGAACAAAGTAGACTTTCGGTGAGAAACCCACAGATTTTGCATTTACTGTGTGTTATTCTTATGGGACAAGAAAAGAATGGAAACAAAGCTGAGAGAGAGAGATAGAGAGCTAGCTAATTATAGCTATATTTGCAACTTCAATCATATGAGGCCAACAAGAACAAGAGTTCTAGAAAAAGATCGAAGAAGTAGAATATTTTGAAGAGGATATTTTCTAAAAGACGATGATAATTAATATTGTATCCTTGAAATAGTATGACGAGTAAATTCTTGGTGTAATAATCATACCGACATATGCTGCGAGAATACGAAGATGAAAAAGTCCCACATTGGAAATTTAAAAAACCTAACAAAGGCTTATGACCCATCTCATCTCCAATAATTTGGGCTGCTTTTTGGCAATGCAGTTCCCACAGCCACTGGACACCTACCTTTTGATAGTCAAAAAGTTGGTTAAAAATGTGCTTTGGGATTTTCAGCCCCCCTTCCGAGGTAACGTTAGAGCAACTCGAGGTAACGTTAGAGCAACTCCACCCATTTGCCCCTTGCCATGGCAAGGGGGAGCTAGGGCAGCCACTATTCACATGAATAGTGGTTGCCCTTGCAAATAGTATTGTGTGTTTCCACCCGTTGCCATGGCAAAGGGCAATTACTATTCATTTTTTTGTTTTTTTCATAAATTTGTTTACCTAAACAATTCATTTGGATAATATTTTCGAATAAGATTTTTGGGTTCGTATGTGTCAATATTTATTATAAAATTCATATCTCAATCGGATAAAATTTTGGCATTTATAGAAGAAAAAAAAAATCAGTAATTTTTTTTAAAGAAAATCGATTTTTTTTCATTTTTTTTATTGCACAAAAATTGGCTGCCGTTGGATTGGAGAAAAAAAATCTGATCGAAGAGCCCAAAGCGCAACACGTGGACTTTAGCGGTACTGTAGCGGACATGTCGGTTTAATCCTCTTTAAATATTAATATATTTTACAGGTATAGCCGCACGGCTACACTGTTTAAAAATAAAAAATAATAATCAGCCGCCTAGGGCGCTAGGCGTTTTTTTTTCCCTTAACAAATAGTATAGCCGCGCGGCGATACTCAGGATTTAAAAAACAGTATAGCTGGCTTTACTGGGGTCCTTTTTTATTTTTATTTTTTATAAATAGTATAGCCTGCGCGGCCATACTCATTTCATAAATACCGTGATTATTATTATTTTTTAAATTGTCTTTCCCCGATTTTTGTTTATCGATAGTTTAAAGCATTATCCATTACTATTAGGCCAATACCCGAGTCTCTATTGTACCCTGAGTTTTTACTTTTCCAGGGTTATTACTCGTATAAAGAATTTAGTATTTTCACGTTTAATACTCATATCGTACACGTACATATGTATGTTTCATGTTTAATACACTTGATTGTTTACAAAATTTTCAATAATACACATAAAATTCACGTAGTATACATATAATTTTTGCATACTATTGAATAAAAATAATATATATTAAAAATTTAAATCTATAAACTATAAACTATATATATCGAAACTAGCAAATTAATATCTATAAAGTATAAACTAATGCAAATAGAAGAAAGAGAAAAACATTAAGCCCTCACCTTGAACCTAACAACATGTTATCTAATAATTCGTTAAATCATTAAAAAATTTATTTTTTGAAAAAATTAAAGAAAAAAACAAAATGAAAAAAATAAATCTTGTTCTGCTTGAACCTGTTATCATCTTTAACACTAC